AAAGTTTTGTAGTGAACAGACATTTGTCAAGATGGAAGGTAAACATTAAAAAAAATTTAAACATTCTAAACAAAGAACAATGTCAAAAGCTGTGACATTCACACTTTTTATACATGTATTTACTGTGGTGACGTAAAGGAATTTCATACGAAAAGAAAATGTTTTTGTTATCGACATGCCCTCACTATCGTCTGGAGGTTCCATGAGACAGATGACTTCAGATCGAGAGTAGTTTTAAGTCCCTTCGGGTAATGCTCCTTCCTCTCCCAGCAGCACAATTCAAAATAAGAATGCGACGCAAATCAGTGATATAACATACAAATAGGTAAAGGTCGCATTTCTTACATCAAGGCATTGTGTGTGCTGGAGTATTTCTATGAACGAAGGGACAAACTTCCCCAAAACCCTGCCATGTTATGTGGCGAGCCATCACAACAACATCAAATGGAGTTTTCAAGATGATTGTAGTATTTATTACTTGGGTAGTAAAATCATGGGATTATTATATTATTATTATTATTATTATTAAATAATACAGTTTTATGTGTACAGAGAAATTATGAGCTTGTTTTTTGTAGATATTTTTCCAGTTCACTGTTTGCTTGATGAATAATTGCCTTGTTATCCTTATTCCTGTGTATCCAGTGGGTTTTCAAAAACTCTGTCCATCTGTCCCCTTAGTAGCTGAATATCAAATTGCAGCAATGTTTAAATAAACACAGATAGTGGTCTATTGTGACCTAATAGATGGAGCAGCAATAAATAATTCTTAAAACAAGATATATGAGCACAGAAACTAGTCATCCAGTAAAACCTGTTTTGTCTCAAACCGACATGGAGAGCTCCAGTTTGGATTTGATTACATGAATATTGCGAGGGAGTGTAACAGTACTTTCTCTTATTACTGCTACCGTCTTACAGTGACTCATAGCAGAAACATGAGATGGGCAGAGTTGCTGAGTATATTTGACCAATATTCAGAGACTGATTACCATTAACACCAAAGCACAGTCGTGCGCCAGTTACATCCACTAAAACTTTGTATCAAAATTATTATTCACCTGTCTTTTTTCTATTCCAGGTAACATCATCCAAGTGATTTCCATTCCAAAATTTTATCAATGTAACATATCTAGTCCATTATAACCACTTTTATTTCACTACCTTAATAATGTCAGGGCAACTGCATGTATATTGCACCCTTCATTTCTCACTGCTACTTACATATTTACTACATTTCATGGATGCGAAGTTAGTCAGATGACACCAGATTCACACAAAGTGAAATCTAATGCTCCTTTAAATTGTGCCTTTTTGTTTATAAGACTTGTGAGAGTTGATAGTAGATTTGAAAATACTGCCAGCATAATATGTACTCTCCTGAAAACAAGAGGTAAGTTCATTAATATGTATTCACGTGGAAGAGCTAAGCTATCTAATCTCTTAAATAGAATGCTACAAGAATATCTAGGTTTGATACCAGCTATTAATCCAACAAATTTATTTTGTAAAGTAAGTATCTTTTTTGATGTTACATTAATTACCACCAAAATTATTCCATTCTTCATTACAGAGTGAAAAGAGGCAAAATCAACTGATTTTAGTGTGTACCCTGTTATTGACACTACATGCCCTCATCTGCATACAGCTGAGTGGCAAGAACAGTGGATTCTTGAATATATATAAATCTTTTTGGGATATTACATACTAGAACATGTAGACAAAACAACATAATTTTAAAAACTTATTTAAGATGATGTTCTCTTACTGAGAATACAGAACAACAAATTCTAGCCATGTGCAATTTTTATAAACCGTGGTTTATATTTGACCAGTCATAACCAAAATTTAATTTGCCCTATAAATTACAATGTTGTCCTCGAACATAACATTTCATCGAAATCCGAAATAGATACCTTCGGAAACGAAACATGTGAACAGATAGACAGGAACAACTTGTCAATTATGTTCATTTCATATTTTTGGGGCAAAAAAACAACCCGGGAAACGTAGAAAATAACTCAAATTACGTGCAACTTAACCCATTTCTTTCTGAAATTGAATGCCAGCCAGGTACTATCTGTGTCCTGCTGTTCTACGTCAATGGAAATCAGTCTAACATCTTTGTTTATTTCTATAAGTCAAAATGTAATCGCGGAGGCCGTGTATGTTATCTATGGCAGTGATTGCGCTAAGGTAGAGTTTATCATGGTAGGAGGTAGATTGTTGTGCGGGAGGTGGTTGATTGAGAAAGTTTGTGGATAAATAATGTTAGTATAAGATGCGCACATCACTGAAATGAGTGTGTTTGGCGACTTCAGAAATGTCTGGGTCCAGAGATTCCCTGGCAGTGACTTACCAGCAGCTTGGGAGGAAGATGTTAGAGCGAATCTCGCCAAACACAAACAAAAAGTTGCAGTCTTGAGGGAGGAGTTAGAGAAGGAGGAGTTCTACGTGGAATATCTTGAACAGTTATTGATTGACGTTGCGAAGCACAAAACGCTGGCTACAAATGACGAGGAAGCTAATAGCGATGATAATGACGTTAAAAGTACTGACAGGTCAAGGCCTACCTCAAATGAACGTTCTGAAACAAATGGCAATAATGTAGGAGATGACATTCACTCTGCTGAGACAATCAACAGTGATTCTGTTAATCAGTGTATTAGTGAACTGTCTCTGGCCTTACCAGATGATCATAGTATTAGTCGTTCAAACAGTGAAGTGCCAAACAGAAAGCGAGCATCAGAGCACAGACGTCCAAGATGTAACACACATCCTGACATTTCTAACTATGTTACAGTTATAGAAGTGAATGGTTTGAATGTTGTTAAATGTGATGGAATGAAGGAAGCTATTGACAGTAAGGGAGCACCTTCTAAGAAGATACCTCCATTGCCACCTCCCAAGAAATTTCACAACAAATCAAAATGTATGAATGATGGTTCACTGAATTCAGTTGACAGAGATGATCATGCAGGGAGCCAAGTGGAAGAGACTTGTGATGAACAGAATGAAAACAGATCTATTGAAATGCAAGATGAAGCTGCAGCATCTTGTCCAGAAGCTAGGAGTGAAGAATCCATTGATGCTGCAATAAAGGTGGAAGAGCATTTTGTGCGAGAAAAGAGTCCTCTGGAAGATGCTAGTAGTGAGGATGGAGTATTGCCAGATGATGAGGAGCCATACTACGACTCTGTTGCTCTTGACGGCGAGTATGTGTACCTGCAGACTGGTATGTACCCTATAATTGTTTCAGAATAGTTACTTAATGGTTAAGTTACAAAATTAATGAACTGTACAGACAACATTGGAAAAGAGTATCCATATTTGGACATACGTACGATAGTTGTTGCTTTAATATGCATTTGAAGCCATGCAGCTGCATGTATTATACCAGTTTTACTGTGGTAGGATGGCAACCATGTGAATTGCTGATTTAGATCTTCCAGTTTTTTTGGGTATTTTTTTTAAGATATGTCAATGATAATGTAACTAACTTGCTAGAAACTGTAGAGTGATCTATTTTAATTCTTGGTTTGCTTCCCTGCTGAAGGTTAAGTCTAGGTTGGTGCACACTAAGGTTTTTTTATTTCTAATTTTTCTTCTGTACTTAAGGAGGAAAATTGAGTTTCTAGAAGTATGTCTATCCTATCACTAATAGTAACACAATCACTAAAACCACTAATAAAAATAAAGTAACTTATATTGTATCTAACAACACAATTACGGACTAAAACAAACCTTTCTTTGAATATGAGATTGCGATAATGGAATGTATCACTCCACTTTCACTGCTCAAGAGTGCAACTAAAGTCTTTTGAACAAAGAATATTCTTCTGTATATTGGGACAGGTCATTGGCCTAAATTCTCACCCTTGCCTCTGTTCAGTAGCAACTTGCCAGCAAAACATTTTGCAAGAAGCTGGAAGAACTTTCAGACTTCAGAATGTGCCCATCTGCTACTGACAGCCTTGGTGAAATGTTCTTATTTTTATTAAAATGTCAAGGGTAGTGTCTGGTAGCCCCCAGTTTGACCTTTTACACAATACTGCAAAACCATTTTCTGTAAGCAAATGCATTACTCTGTCTTGACTATTAGGCTGTGATGAAACAGTCTTGTCCAAGCAATATTTAATGCTATTAGGGTCTCATTTCACACAACCCTGGTAATCAGACTTAGCAAAATGCATTTCCAATATTTTCTTGCTTTTTGTTATGTATATTGAATTAAGCTTTGTATTTGAGGAGCAGATTTTTTAACACCAATTTGTCCATTGAATTACCTTCTTTCTTCAAGTAAATTATAAATTCAGTGTGCACACTGCTTCTTGAAAATCCATTCTCCTTTTTTTTCCCTCCTGCCTGCAAAAATAAAGTGGGACCCTAAGGATGTACTGCCCCTTCTAGATCCTACTTCACCGTTTTTGTCTCCTGCTGTAATAAGTTCATAATAATTTTTTTGTTTTATTCATTTGTATAGTTAAAGTAACCAACTATGGAGAATGAATCATTCATTGGCACTAAATCATACACCAAACTCTACTGTTTCTTTTCTGTATTATTTAGTGCCATTTCTATAATTCTTTTATTGACATTTTAAAAATGAAATATGTTTAAAGTCACCTCTTATTTCATTTTTCTTTTCACTTTTCTTAGTTTTTATAAGTGCTGCTTTATCTCTTTTTTGTATCTGTAGTTGTTGAGTTGCCTCATTTATTTTGTTTGGGTAGCTGGGCTATTGCTTGAACACCCAATCTGAGGGATAAGACCATTTCTTCATTAACCATTATTCAAGGTATCTGATGAGCCTTCATGGCTACTATAATTTATTATTTTCTTACCCAGTCAGTAGCTTGAACTGTGCAGGAGATGCTGTAATGGAAATTTTTCTCAGTTCTCTTTTTACAAATATTGTTCCAATAATAAAGTACAAACAGGCAGGACAAGCAGTTATATTTATGAGTGGAAGTGCTTTATCAGCAGTTGTTGAGCGAGTATGAATAATTAATTGTTTGCAGAGCAAGAGATGCATGCACATGTCACGTCCAAAGCAAAATGACAGGGACACTAGAAAGTAGGGCTAACATAAGAATTAAGAGCTGTGATTATATTTCTGCATGCAGATGGGAACACACCAACACAAATTCATCAGGAGCTGCTGATTATTGTGTGGGGAATGTATTTTTTTATTTAGTGTTCTGTCTGACGACAGGTCCATATGAACAGGATCCTTCCATCCTTTTCTCGGACTGGGACCTGTTCATATACGTTCTTGGCAGATGATCCAGAAGTGGTTTGCCATTGCCGTCTTCTGTGTGTGAATGGGATGCCACGGAGAAACCGGGAAGCCCCCGGAGGAAAACTTTGTGTTGCCTAGACCACGGCCTTGCCCAGCACAAGTTATAAATTCGGGCACCGCCGGGAATCGAACCCGAGACCCCAGGATTACAAGGCCAGACCACCGTGGCTATAAAATTGTATTAGTATCTGTATGGTGCAAAACCAAGCACATCCTGGCAGACCTAACAGTGGTTGTAGTAGTATGGAGTACTGTGGAGTCCTGTACTGAAACTTCCGACTCCTACATAAAAGCTCAATATGTATTAATAATGGTAAACTTACTAAAATGGTAAGTGTTACCATAAGAGATTTCATCACCACCATGTGAATCATCAGGCTACGTTTTAGACTTATAATCTATATTTAAATATAATTCTAATGGTTATTGCAGAAAATAGCATTTTCTTAAGATTTTATATCAAAGTCGGTACATTTTGACTGACTCCGACTCCACACTCAACATCAACTTTCATTTCTGTGGGCCCCTCAAACAGCATCTATCAACCCAGCAGTTTGTGAATTATGAAGGTGATAATGGTATTGCTGTTGGGATGACCTGGCTCTGGGCATTTGACCAACGGTTTGAGGGCTCTGGTTTCCTGCTGGGACTTGTGTCTCAGTAATAGTGGTGATATGTAAAAAAATAATGTGATGTCTGCCTTTGTTGCAAGCAGTCATATCTCAGTGACAGTAAATGCTGTGTTATAATGGCCTCATGTGCCTTACCTTGTGCAGATTGTTCATTTTAACATGCAACCTAAACTTCACCGTCACCATATGCTCCATATATATGAGGTGGAGTTGATCACCTGATAGATATCCAACAACTTAGAACTTCAGTGGCAGGGATACCATTGCCATTGCAACCAAAACATGCATACAGCCATTATTTGTCCAGTGTGGTACAACTTAGTTCAGTGTGCTGTTTTAATCAAACAAGACGGGTCTTACTTGTGAGCATTATTTTGCTAGAAAGTAATTTTTGTTGCACCAAAAAGCTTTTCAAGAAATGTTCCCAAATGAGTCAGTGCCAAACAAAGCAACAGTCATTTGCCTAATCAGGAGGTTCCTCGAGACTGTCGGCGTGTTAAATCGGAAACACGGCCATTTTTGAAGACGTGAGGCTCAGCTTCCTGCACTCCCCCTATAAATCACTGAGAAAAGTGTCTGAACAGAAGAGTATGTCATGTGTTATGAAGTAGGGTTGCATTTTTGAATGAACATTGTAATTCCTCTCCTGTTTATGTATTCATGTGATCACTTCATTCTCATTAATTTATGTTCTGTCCTTAATGGTGAGACCAAGTTCATATCTGTAATGAGTTATTGTTGGTGCAGGTGGAACTGGTGGAGGCAGCAGTACAATGACAAGTGCCAGCTCTGGTACAACAGACACGACTGATTCAGCCCCTGCAGCTCTTATGACGCTCCCCAGTAGCAGTCCTCTCTGCTGCTCTCAGTCTGAACTTCAGCCTCATTCCCCTGGTAGTCTTAGCAGCTTCAGTAAGCAGTCCAATTATGTCAACATCGACTATTTCATCAAGTACGCTTTGGTTTTAATATTATACAACTATAGAACACGTTACATAATGTAAGATAATGAAATTGTGTTGTTACCAGAAGATTGTGAATTGTATAACAACAATAATTCAATTCGGTTATAATAATAATAATTTTCAGAAATAGCTGCTGCAGTATGCACCTCAGGAGCAAGGTTTGTCTCAGGTACATAGAAGTAAATACTCCGTAAAACGGTGAATATATGCAATAATATTAATAAACATCAGCAGTGGTAATAATAAGCTTTCTTGTACTGTTTTGGGGCATAGGAATTGTAAATGAAGGACTAAAATATGTGGGCTTTATTAGATGCAAGCAAAGAAGTTTGGCATTGTTGTCAACACAGAAAGTACTGTGTTTATGTTCGTGTTTTGTCACCAGACTACAGAAATTATGGTGTGTGAAATTGAAAGAATGTTGTTTGTTATGTGTTCATAGTTTTATGATTTAATTTCATGTCGCCATTTGTCAGGCACCGAGCAGGAGCCGAAGGACGAAGTAGTTCGTTGGAATCAGAAGATGAGACAGAAGTTCCACCATTATTACGCACAATCTCCATGGAGACGGATGACGTATCAGGTGGAGGTTCTGAAACAGGAGGTGCAATTTCATGTTTTGCTGGTAGCAGCTCTTCCCTTGAGTCTGCGGCTGTAGCCACCCCTGCACCAGCTAGGAAGATACAGTTGCAGGTATGCAATTCAGTTGTAAGCTTCTCTAAACATTTTCTCTACATCAAAGTACCAGTCAAAATGTCCTTTTTATTCAGTGCCAGCCATTTGTTAGCTTGAAGATTTCCGTCTTCTGGGTTGTTGCGCTGTGTAGTCTGGTCGATGTTAACTAACGTTTCAGAGGTCATACTGCCTCCGTCATCAGGGCGATGAATATTCATATTCATGACCTCTGAAACGTTGGTTAACATCGACCAGACTACACAGCGCAAGAACCCAGAAGACGGAAATCTTCATACTCACCGCTGTGAAAACCTCAAATCTTACATCCCACACACACACACACACACACACACATAGACTTTTGAACTGTTCTCAGATTTTCATGAACACACATCTATTTTTTTATTTCCTATTATTATACCAGTTTGGTGGTTGTGTGAATTTCTGAGGGGAATATGTCAGTAATACCAGTTGATGTGTTATTAAATTTCATGTAGTAATACGTCTTTAAAATGCAAGATTTTTAGAGGGCAGTTTTGAGGACATACTGCCTGCATGAAATGTGTGCATTTTCATTCATAATGATTCACACAGTTTCAGTGCATGACTGTGTAAGGAGTGTAAGTGATTTTCACATCAACTGTTGTCCATACAATTCATAATGTTTTCCTAAAAGTTCGCTTCGCTTCACAGAATCTCATTGTGCTTTACAATCACTGAAACAGTAATCCGTGTCTTACAACTATTTTATTAGGTGTACACAGCAGCTGTGATTGTTTGCTAGAGCGCCCTGTAATTTAAATAATGGAGACTGACAGACACATTCTGCTTGTTAAATTTCTTTATTTGTTTACTTATGGTTTATTTAATGATGCTGTTACTAGATCATACTGCATATCATTAGATGATAGGATGGATAATGAATTAGAAAGAGTATGGAAGGAAGCGGTTTTGGCTTAATTTTCACGCACTCTCCTGGTGTTAGGATGGAGGGATTAAGGGAAGTTACGAAGAGCCTTGCGTTCAAAGGGTTAATTTATGCTAATTAGTAGAATCATTGCTTTGTCCTTTTTATTTCAGGACGTAGGCAGTAAGGCAGAAGCTGAGAGAATAACAATGTACCGGTGCATTATTGCTAGTATCATTGAGAGTGAGACAGCATACCTTGAATGCCTGAATGTCATGCTCCAGGTATGTGGTACAAGTCATTATTTTATTTGGTGAAAAGGCAAGATTGATATCAAATTTATATTAAACAAGAAGTTTACCTTTCATACTGAAAGCCTTTTATATTTATTGCAGACTTCACTTTTGTAAACATGAAATGTTTGTTACCATAGATTTAAAAATTAATTTGTAGTTTTGTCATCTGTGATCTGACACCTTGTGGTAATAGAAAAAGGTGTCTGATGTCGTGGACGAACATAATACCTCTCAGGGCCTACCCATAATTTCCTATATCAACCATGTCTTATTACTTCTCATCACTTCATGCCGTGTTTGTAGGGGCCTAAAACATCTCATATATTAATATAGTGTTTATTCAGTACGTGGAGGCATTATGTGTGTGTGAAACATCAGAAACCTTTTCTGCTACTACAAGGCATCAGATCCCAGAAGATAAGATCAGAAAATTGTTTATGAATTGCTGTGAAAACCTGGAATTTTTCAGAAATATTTCTGTTATGCCAAATAGTTAATTGGCAATGTGGCACAGAGTGAATTCTTGGATTCTTACATTCATTTGTAATTGAATTATCCACTTCAGTGATTGGGTTTTCTTGCTAGTATCTCCCTGAAATTTATAAAAGGAAGTGTTGGAATATTTAATGTCATTTTACCACCCTAATTTACAGTACATGAAGGCTATCAAGGCCACCCTCACCACGTCACAGCCTGTTATATCAGAGGATGAGTTCAGCACAATGTTCTACAAAATCCCGGAACTGCATACTTTGCACCAGAGTTTCCTAGATGGTCTCAGACGTTGCACACAGAACTGGGATGGACAGCTTACTATTGGAGATCATTTCCGTATAATGGTGAGTTGGCAGGTCAAGTGACTGCGGCATCCAAGTAGAAAGTTAGTGACGGCCATTTTAAAATGCTTTCAATTCTCATATCTGCTGTATTTCCGTTATTAACACTTTTACTTTCCAGTGTGAAACTTCTTCAGTATTACAGATTGCTGTACATAAACTTTAGATTTTGCACTTCATTGTTATTTATTTTCCTCATTCTTATATTTCCTGGCTGCCACCCAAGTTGGCCTGCTGAATCAGCGTAAAAAGCATTTTATGCAGGTCACAAGAATGAATTAATCTGCTTCGCAGTAGTTTCTCTTGCTTCCACATTGGGCCTCATGATTGCATTGCTTGACTTGTTGAACATTTGTTTAATGGATACAATCCCTATAAGCTGCGTGAAGAAATAGATCTGTTAAAAGAATGTCGTGCACGTGCGAATGTTTCATATTGCCCCAAACATCATGTGCCACAAGGATTACAGTGCATCCTCATATTAAATGACATCTGACTACCAAGTCTTGTGTATCAGAAAAATTGTCATTGAGTGAGAAACAGCAGAGCCACTGAATATAAGGATGTGTGTCCGATGGATACTGTATCACTGCAAAATATTTTAGCAGAAGCGTGGATGCAAAATTTATATGACTATATAACTTATGATGATCGGAATAGTTGCAACAGAAGCTCGGTGGTCACTGCTGTGTGTTGATGTGATGCACTGCAGTTGTTAGATGTCTGTTTTACCAGAAATTATGGAATTGCATTGTTCAAGCGTGTTTCTTCACTTGCAAATATAACTCAACCCCATATTTTGAATTAAAATCAAAGTAAAAATCTGTTGTCCTAATGTCAGGTAAATACAGTATTTGCTCATTTGTTCATATGATGAAATGAAATACTTGTATGTTTGTATGGACTTGCATCCTTACACTTAATAGTGACACTTTACATCTCTGTTAATAAGAGCTTTTCATATATATATATATATATTTATATTGCTACTTAACTGTAGTTATTTGGAATGGATGTATCCTTTCATAATCTCAACTTCTTTTTATTGGGTTTATTTTACAGAACCCTTTTTGAAATTGTGTAATATTTGATGCCACAACAGCTACAGTTTTAAGGTTTGGATAGAAGTGTTATTTTTTGCTAGTACAGTTATGTACTTTAGCTGAGAGATATCTGAAGTGAGGCTGGTGGCAACTACCATATCTCTTCACAACTATTGGCACAAGAAATGCTGTGCCAGTTTCTATTCAGGTTAGCACAGTTCACATATTTCACATGTCTGCT